AACACTAATCAGGTTAGGTATGGTGTCAATTCAGGGTGGACCTGATATAACATGGTCCGGGTCCTCCCATAGTAGGGCAGTTAGTTTTGTACTTTATTAACGCGGTTTATTATATGGCTACACCTTAATGTAATAGTCGGTATAAACTTTAAGTTTTACAATTTAAATATTATAGTCTACAATTTGTTGCTGTGATAAAAAGTACACCATTTTATCGAAAGTGAAACATTTCTTGTCTTCTTTACTTCTAAGCATAGTTTTAGCGGTTGCCTCGATGTCACACTGCTATCGAGTTGGTGTAGTCAAAATCTAGTCTGGTATACATGATCAGATAAATCATAATCATCTTAATAAATCATTGAAGTATTAGTTTAACGAGTGAATTGACTAAATAAAAATATAAAAAATGATATAAAAAAGTAACCCATGAAACAGACAAATCTAGAATAGTGTTGTGAAACTTATTCTTTAATGCGACGTAGATTAAAACTTGCGCTGAGGACAGGAATTACGCTGTTCAGATATAATTAATTAGATATTTCTTAACCGTTGATTATTTCATAATTAAGATTACTTTTTATTTCTATGTAGCACTTAAGATCTTTTTAAATTAGAGAATATTCTAGAAACTATAATATTCCTAATAACTGACGGTCGAGTGTCAGATTATTAGGTTGTTAAAGGTTTAAAAAACTATCACTTGGGAATTAAATCATAAAACAAACAGTAAACTATACCTACTTACATAAGTAAGTTCGTTTTGTAAACAAGTGTAAAAAATACGAATAGAATATACATCGTGGATATAGTCTTGATGACAAAATGATTGCTTTATTTTAGTCAGTAGCAACGTGTTTGTTGGTATGTAAATATGTGTTTTATGTTTTTATCTAATTTTATCCCTTTTATATTCATTACTAATTATATATATAATGACCCTGTTTTTTTTTTTTTTTTTTTTTTTTGCCGTGCGGAAATCCCCTCGGATACCAGATATACCCTAGAAAGGAAGTCCCTGGTGCCCCGACATACCTCGGGCCATCTACAACAACAGGTAGACGACCCCCCCGTGTGGGAACCCCATGTTCCCTCTCTCATGTTCCCTGGAAGCGAGCGCGCTTCGCAACGTGCTCGCCGCCACCCCGGCCTGCTTCTGCTAGGGTGACAGATGGCCTCACCTGTCACCCCCAGGCCTGCGCTTATGGAGGACGGAGGTCGTTCTGCAACCTCCGGCGCCTGAGTCGCCTGCGGTACCTGGCCCGTTCCCGGATCTGGCGGGCCGGGAGAGTCCTAAACCTCTCCCGGTTCCGCTCCGCCGTCTCCATCTTAAGTTTGCCTGGAAGAAATTGCTCTTAGCAATAACATGTATGCATGTAATAACATAATAGCAGTTACATGTTTGAAATTTGTGTGTATCATGCTGGTTGTAAAACGGCATACAAATAAAGAGTTTTCAATCTATCTGTCTAGCCAGTTTAAAAAACTTTGACAGCTGTATAACACTTGACATGGGATTGGTCGTGTATTAATCTGAAGGCTGAACACATTTAGCTCCCAGTTCCTGTCTAGTTTCTCTGAGCTAATCAACCGAAATATGGATTAGCGAGAACTTTATATAGGGAGCTATTGGAGTTAACAGTTTAAATGTTTCAAAGCACTCAAAGCAAAATATTAACACATTAATCAAGTTTCCGTTCAAACTATTTACTAATGAAAACCATAAAATCTATCGCTATTTTTAATTTGAGTAAGGAATTTGACGTGGGAGAGTAATGTGTCAGCACATGTGTCTTCATGTGACTGCACGGATTACTTAGTGGTTTAAGCGGTCGCTACGCCGCTTACTACTACGCTTACTTACGTTGTGGTTCCGATTCCCACATGGGACGACGCTTTGTGGGCGTTGTCTTTTTAAAAAAGAAAATAATTATGTGCTGACTCAACCGGAGTGAGACCACGGCCTCACAGGAAATCAGTACAAAGCTTGGAAACTGAGATTCCTGGAAGCCCTAACTGAACCCTCCATTTGGCCGGCGGGAATTTTTAAAGAGTAGCAACTGACTTGTGTCTAGGTCCATGGGTGGCGGTAAACACTTACCATCAGGTGACCAGTCTGCTCATTAGGACTCTGTCCGTGTGGTGATGGATTAAGAATACGGAGTGTCACCACCTCTATTCATCCCGTGGGTGTTGTCAGAGCCGACTGAGGGAGCAAACTACGCAGGACAATATCACTGCAAAGACAATTCAAACTAGACACAAACCCTATAAAAACTCCTTTGGCCAGCATGGTATAGTAGGCCAAAACCTCCGTTCTCAGGAGAGGCCCATGTCCAGCAGTGGACTATTAAAACGCTGTTGATCTCGAAAAAAATTAGGATAACGTGTAATGTAGTCTATACTGTAGAAAGCTTTCTATGTTTTAAATCTGAAACTGATTTAAATTTAAAACAGAGCTCTAAAGTATTTTATGGCGATAAATTCAAAAACAAAAACACAAACACGTGTCCAATCGCATCATAGCGGATAAACACTCGTAAAAAAAATCATTTTTATCTTTGCCTACAGCTTCCACGGATTTCGTCAACTCGAATGTCAATTTTTGTGTGAAACATATTTGAACGTATTCGTGTGCAAAAGCTGGCGATTCAAAAATAAATGTTGAGAACGAGTGAAGTGCCAGCTCATAAAATGTTTTGCTATTGAATTTTAAATGTTTCGTGTTTCTTTAATATTGTTTTTGTTTACACTGTGATGTAATCATGAAGAAGTACTATTTCCACATGGCGCTGTATCATGTAACAAGTTATTCAACTCAACAGAGTGGTTTAATATAATAGAAGAATGGCATATATTCATAGCGGTGGCAAATTTTAACATCAAAATATCAAAAAAATATTGAGAAATACCAAATGTTTATAATTTTTTTTTGGACTTATCCCGCATTAGGAATATATCCTGTGTCGCGGGGGACTTTACAGACAACGTACACAAAGAACGCCCAGACTTAGAACAACAAGTTGTGGATCAGACAAAATGTCGTCCCATGTGGGGATCGGACCCACAACAGCAGTAGTAAGACTTCATCACCATCATCACATCAACAACAACTGTTGGTCGTAGTGTTATGTTATATTGCCTGTAACCTTACTCGATAAATTAGTTATCCAAGTTTAAAAGAATAATTCAATTCGATCGAGTAGTTCCTGAGATTCACATCACATCAACAGCCTTTAATAGTCCACTGCTGGACTAGGCCTGTCCTTAGAAAGGAGGTTATGGCCTACTTTACCACGATGGCCAGATGGGTAGGTATAGGGTTTGTGTCAAGTTTTCCATCTCTTTGTAGTGCTGTTATCCTGCATAGTTTGCTTCCTTTAATCGCCTCGTACGACACCCACGAGGTAACTATAACGATCTGATAATGCCTACAATCAGAGAAGAAAAAGCTAGACACAATCGTAAACCAACCAAATCTATTGGGCCAGCCGCTTATGGGCCAACAGTCCGAAAATACGAAAGCTGAGGATCCCCCATAAGAGCATATTAAACGCTGAAGTAAAAAAAAAACGAACTAATAGTTCCTAAGATTGCCACATTCAACCTAACAAACTCTTAAGCTTTTAACCTACTATTAGTATAAATATAAAATTTATTAAAGAATATTGTCATGTTTTACAAACGCAGTAATCTTTTTAGGTTGCAAAGGTAACCACATTAAAAACTGACTGTTTGATATTTACAGAATTTATTTTAGGCATATGACCACTTTGCCAACTTATAAAGGAACCATGGAGTTTCAAAATACTATCGACGTCAACGCATTCATCTCTTAGTTTGTTTTTCGATTTTAAAAAGACAACTCCCGCAGTAGGACCATATTAGGATATAGGTCGTGGGATACTTTATAGACATTCATAAAACGGACACAAAAAAGAACCAGACTTAAAACATCATTTTGGTCAAACTAATTCTTTTCCCATGTGTGGATTGAACCTACAGCACTCATCGCTGTAGGAGGCAGCGTGATGACTGCTTAAACCACTACCCCATCCGTGCAGTCGAGTTATATAAACGGTTTATCGTAAAGCAAGGTATTTTGGTTACATATATGCAATATAGTGATATTTTGTAAGAAAGAACAATCTACAAAGTATATTCAAGAGACAGACTAGTGATATGTAACAAGGGCGAGGAACATAGGCATTTATTAAGCGCTTCAGTAAATCCTCCTTCACATTTTGTAAACAAACTTTTTTGTGCATGTCACCATCTTGAATACTACTAGTTTTCTTTACTCTATTTATTGAATATTATTAATTTATTGAATATACCTCAACAAAGTTTATATTTAAGTGTGATATCTAATACGTGTACGCACGGCAACGAAATATTTGATCAGGTTTACATATGTGTGTCAATCCAGTAAGTATTATTATACGTACGTTTACATGTGTGTGAATTACATATAACTCGTTTACGTACCGATACTCACACTAATGTACCTAAAGGGGTAGGCAGAAATGTATTAAACGCTCACATATTGCGGTTTTCGTTTACGCAATTACGCAAGCCTATTACCGTCATCTGACACTTTAGAAAAAAATAGGCAAATTAGGAAAATATTTCACGGAAAGGTAGATAGATAAGAGGAAGTCAATAGTAGGAAAGGGATATTGACTATGAGGTTGGGTTGGGGAATATTAGCAAAAGATAGAATCGGTCAGGATCGCATAACTGTGACTCGAATAACCTATTGTTGGGAACTCCAAACCTTCTTTTCTAACTAAGGAAACCATAGGGCTACAGACATTACGTCATTCATATTTTTTCCTCCCTTACCTTGGCTTATTAGAATGAGTTCAATCCGGTGAAAAGGTCGCGGCCTTCACTAGGAGCGTGTGAAATTACCGCGGCCAAGTTTGGCAATACTCTGAATTAGAACGTTATCAGCAACTCGGTTGAGTATTTCGTCGGAAGGTATTGTTCAAGCTGCCATCATGGCTGGCGTGAGACTGCTGTTTGTGTATTTGTGTTTATTATCTGTGGCCGGTGAGTAGCAACTGTTATATTCATCTAATTTTCTTTTTTCTAATAGTTTTATCTTTTGTTGTTGAATCATTAATAAATTTAACGCTAGCTCGGTATCTATTATTTTGTTCGATTGTTATTTCTTGTGTAATGTAAGATATTCATGACACGTTGGGTTGAAGTTTTGTTTTTCAATATTAAGTATTTTTTTACTACAATGAAAGTTTGATGTTTGTTTAATAAATAATTAAGTGAAGTTTAAATTCTATAGATGTTCAAGAGGTAGTTCCAACAAATGAGGATGATCAGCTTGGTGATGATGGCCAAAACACCGAAGATACTAATGAACTGGACATAGATTTAGAGGCCGCTTGTCCAGAATTAAGCGGCCAAATTATCGGTGGGAGAGTAACTTCAGTGAATCGACACCCCTATCAAGTGTCTATGGTTATGAATGGTAATTCATTCTGTGGAGGTTTCATCATCAGCCAGGATTTTGTAATGACAGCGGCTCATTGCGTACAAAAGTAAGAAAATTTGATCAATTTTTCAAAGTTACAGATTTCAGAATAATAATATGTTTATTTTATATTTTCTTTATAAAGGCACTTGTTAGTTTAGTAATCCGTGTGTGACGGATTAAGAATACACAGTGTCACCACCCCTATTCATCCAGTGGGTGTCGTAAGAGCCGACTAAGGGAGCAAATTACGCAGCACAACAGCACTGCAGAGAGAAGGAAAACTTGACACAAACCCTATACCAACCCCTCTGGCCAGCGTAGTATAGTAGGCCAAAACCTTCTTTCTAAGGAGAGGCTTATGTCCAGCAGTGGACTATCAAAAGCTGTTGATGATGATGAAGATGATGTGAGTGTAGTAATTAGCGATCGTGACTGCTAAACCAGAGGCCGGTTGGTTCGATTGTAACCCAAAATAACTATTGTATGAAGAACACGGTTATTTGTTACATGTCTGTAGTTTATTTAATAAAGTTAATTGTGTTTGTATTTAGAAATATACAAGTATATTTATTAGTAACCTGGTAGTAGCTTGGTCTGAGATCAGACAGCAGTTTTTAAGATGCGTCAAGTTATTATTGGTATGTGCCATGATTCAAGGTTAAAGTCGCTTCAATTTCTTTTATTTATATTTTAGAAGATATAGATTATTAATTATTTGTATTATTAACAATAAAATATAATGCATACCTAAGTTTAAAATATTAAACTAATTTATTGTGAGATTATTCGAGCAACAAAATTCAAAGCAATATTTAATGAGCCCATAAATAGAGCTTTATTGACTCAGAATGTTATCAGTAATCATAAAAATAGTTACAGTTTTTACTAGGCGCAGTAAATTTGAAGATATTGTTCAGAGGCAACCCCATTTCGGACGTTTGGGGTTGACGGGTGTCAAGGCCAAATCGTAACGTTTCTTAACTTTATGACTTTGGTAATAATAAAACTGGGACCAGACGAACGAGACTTAGTTTTTATATCTTTGACGTAGTTGCTTATCAATTTAGGGAATTTTCTAAAGATATAGCAAAGCGTAAAATTATTTATTTACTTTATTTTACATCTTTATACACTTATCTACATCGGCGGACTTTATGCCCTAGGCATTCTCTACCAGCCTAATCTTGTAAAATAGTTGCACTGAGGTTACAATTGTAATCGGTGATTTAAATATATATATCTAAATTAAACTTACTTGTACAATTACCTACACATATGTAAAAATAAATATACTTATAAATACACACAAATACATATTCTTTATGTTCGTAGACTGTCAATACTAGAATATAATGAGGTGTATTATATACGTTATAAAATTATTAAAATTTAAGAAGATTTAAGCATAATGTGTTAGGTATGACATTTAAGGATTTGTAAACTACTTAATGAAAGGGAGAATGTTCTCAATGAGGTTGTATGTTTTTTTTCGGGGAAAAAAAAAACATACAACCTCATCAAATGAACAGACGGATTACCTGATGGTAAGTGAGTACCGCCGCCCATGGACAACTGCAACTGACAACAGAATACGTTGGCGCTCTTTGAGTGAGAATCAGGGGGTCAGTGAAAAGAAACGAAGAAATGCTCAACACCGGTTTTCTGTGTGGCCTGTTATCACGATCAAGACGGCTTATTGTGTCGAAGTATGGCCTCCTATGTTGAAAAAACCTTTGTTATTATCCCAGAGCTCCATCATTTATAACTGATTTGGAAATGTATTTTTATTTGTAGGAATATATTTCCCATTTGGCTCTCTTAAAATTTGATAAAAAAACACCACTCCTAAGTGTGAAAAGTTAGTTAATAAAAAACACGGTTTATTACAATTTCGTTATGACGTTGACACATTGACGTAGTTGATAGTTTAAAAAATTTATTAGTCCACTGCTGGACATAGGCCTCTCCTTAGAAACGAGGTTTTGGTCTACTATACCACTCTGGCCAAACGGGTTGGTATTGGATATGTGTCAAGTTTTCCTTCTCTACGCAGTGCTATTGTCCTGCGTAGTTTGCTGCATCAAAACCCCCAATAGGGTTGGTGACACTACGTATTCTAAATTCGTCACCACACGGACTGCATACGTACATATGTTTGAAGTCATACATTTACAGTTAGAAAAATTAGACAGAAAAAGTTTAAATATGTGTAAAAATAATCATTAGTATTCATTTTGATAGTCAAAACTAGTCACGATTCCATCCACATATTCTCCAAGTCCAAGTAGCTGTAAGTACAACTATGTCAAGTACATTGTAAAGGCTGAATGTAATCATGAATGTTACCCTGACCCGGCAAATGGTTTTTCTCTCCGTGAATATTTTATGAAATGCTGTACTCCATTGCTCGAGGCTCAAGAGCTCTCCTCTAGCGAGAATGTTTTTGGTTGAGTGGGCAAGCCAGGAGTTTACGATGTAGCAATGTCGGGGAAATTTTATTCATATGTTGGTTTTATCGCCATTTGTGGGCTTTATGGGCTTCAAGTGATGTACTTGAAATACTTAATTCAGCAGTCAGTTATTCAATCAGTTTTTTAACGTAATTAAGTCAATGACTCTTGTAATTTTTTTTTGATATTTCTAGATTGATGAGTATATAGAAATGTGTTCAGATTGGGCAACCATCCATAGACTGACCTGGCTAGGATTGCTTAATTTTGCAATGTGTTAACCTAGCTGGTTACCAATCAGCTACGAGCACCTCTTTGCATTAAACTAAAATACTTGTATATATCGTGAAAGAGCCATGGTTCGGGAAATATGAATCAGGTAAATGCCACAATACCGGACTGATATACAACGTCACAGGAAACCCTTGTTAAGCAATTCTTTCGTTGCCTTTCATCGAGTGAGTGAGGTTACTAGAGGCCTTCCTTCTCCTCTCCAATTCTTGGTGGAGATTCAAGAGAGACACCCTCAAATAGCTGCAAAGCACTTGTGAATCTTCAGTTGCAGGTGTCTATGGACTATGATTGTCACTAATCATTAGGTGAACCATCAGCTCATTCCACCCCTCCCCCCCTATACTACAATACGGGGGTATTATAAAGAGAAACCTTTAGATTTCGAAAAGCTTTTTTGTTTTTAGCACCGCTCCGAGTGCTATAAGACTTCGAGTAGGAAGTACTCGCCGAGACACGGGCGGGAGAATTGTTCGTGTTTCCCAAGTAGTGGTGCACCCACAGTACGGAAGACCGCAGTTTGATAATGACATAGCTGTTCTACGGCTCGCAAATCCTTTAACTTTCAATGTGAATATACAACCCATTAGACTGCCGACGTTACGACAACCCGTGCCGTTGGTGCGGCTCACTGTCACCGGATGGGGACTGACTGTGGTAAGGATCTGACTATATGGATGTCATGGAATATAATGAATTTCAAGGGATTTTGAAGCAGCCCTGATCGACCTACTCTTATAAGTTCATCTGTCTATCTTGTTGGTAGATGTCCTTTCTAAGTTCACTAAGTTTCGCGTGGTCTCCACAATTCAGGAATCACTAATTTTGATCTACTACAATTAAATTTGAAGTATTACTACAATTAAACTAATCGTAGGTTGCCTCTTAGGCCACTAATATTTACAGAATTTCTGTAGAGTAGTTTGTTGTAACAAGCAAGTTAGTTCTTTGATTGTATTTATTAAGATTTTCTTTCTTCTCATATTAAATACGTACTTACAGCCTGGAGGCCGTCGTATACCACGGAGAATGATGGAAGCCAATGTTCCCGTGGTTCCCCACTGGTTGTGTCGACTATCGTATGGAGATGCTCTGACAAATAACATGTTCTGTGGAGGTCACTTCCTCATTGGAGGTGTATCCTCGTGTCAGGTAAGTCGAGCAAGGGTTCAAAACGTGTCTGACTGCTAAACCATATATTGTGGGATAAGAAGCATTAGTACTGCGTGTGGTTGTAGTCTCCTTTTTTTAATTTGTGGATCATACAAAGTGTTGTCCCATGTGGGGACGAACCCATAACACTCAGCGCAGTTGAAAGCGGCGAAGTGACCGCTTAAACCATTCCGTGCAGTCAGTTTGTCTATAATACGTGTGTATATAGAAAAATATAAGTATGTTTATCTGTAGTCTGCCAAGTTATTTCTTAAAGACACTGAAATTTAAATTAATCATCAAATCAGTAGACCGTTAGCTGTATGACTTTACAAATCAATAAAAATACAACATTTAGTTTGCAGTACAAAATAACAGAGGTCTTCTATACAGTCAAGGCCCTTACCAGAAGCGGTACTAATTTGCTTAACTTAACTTTCTGTGAGCGCAGTAGCTTTTCTTTGGCGTGGTCATGTCAACACGTAATACGCGTCCAATCTCTGAGGATCATTTGTTATTATAAAGGTATATTCATAGGTGGTAAAGTGTTTTATTATTTTTTGTTAACTTTTTGAATTTTTTCCAGGGTGACTCCGGAGGTCCAGCTGTATTCAGAGGAACTGTATTCGGTGTTGTCTCTTTCGCTAGAGGCTGTGCTCTTCCTCTATCTCCTACAGTTTTTACTAATATTGCTTCTCTGAGAAGCTGGGTTGCTGAAAATACAGGCGTTTAGACCTTATGACAAGTTCCTAGCTTAGATTTTACTTAGAGCATTTCTGTGATAGATTAAGTGTAGATTTTGGAGGTTAAGTTATTCTGAATAATGTACACTGTTATTATTAAGCATCAGAGGCTGTTTATGAATTTAGTATTGCTCTGTTGAGCACAAATTTGCATTACCTTAGAATAACTCGGCTCCCAGTAGACTGTTAACATAATATTTATTATTTTTATAATACATTTCTAATAAATCTTTTACGATAGCGTTGTTTTATTTAAAAGTGTACATCATTTTTAGGTTTTGTTGTTGTGAATTACTCTGTTTTTGTAATTATTTTAGAGGAGGAGATCCAGGAGACTTTTATTAAGGGGTGAAATGACCTGTCACGTCAATTTCTGCCGTAGACTCTCTTGTGTATACGTCAATAAAACCGTACTTCTTGTCTTATTTCATGTATCACACTTACAAGTTACCTTCTATAAATATTCTTCTATAGCACATAAATTCATTAGCAAGGTACTTACAAGTTTAATAATTTTCTTTCACAGTTTTTCCTATACATTTATAAATAGAAAAAGATTTGAAAAACAAAGCTCTCGGTAACAGAATATAAATAGCATAGCAATTCGATTTTCCTCAGTTAGGTTAGCAGGTAATTATGCGATCTACGTTTATTTAATACATTAATTTAAAAAAAATGATGAAAGGCGAGACAACGACTAACAAGGTATTATGCAGTAAACTGAACATATAAATGCAAAGACCGAACGAGAGAGAAAACACGGTGCCGTGTGTTACTGAGGCGATTTTTTAATAAAATACGAATTTTCTTTGTAAAAATTCATTATATAAATATAAATTGAGAATGAAATATTTTTGAAGCATTTGATGCTTAGTCACATTATTCAAGTTGGTTGGTTATTTACTTTCGTATACCTGAAAAAAATCTCTGTACCTCTTTTAATCCAAAATGGCGCATGGAAGTAAACCAATTTGCAATAATTAATGTTCATAAAACGTCAATATTATGATGGTCCAGTATTTTGACCTGTCATGGCACAAAAGCCTATACAAAGATCCAAGTTCTACAGGTCGATAAAAATAAAGAAAAAAACAATTGTCAAAAATCGACCGCCCTTGATCTAATATTATTGACCAGTTCTTTTCTCTTCACAGGTATACGAAATGTTTCTAATCGGTTATCAGTTCAGGGTTCTATCTCCAATCTTCACGATACACTGGGGCCTTCAAGCACGGAGGAACCGTCCTCTTTGGAGGGAGAAACAAAACGAAAAGAATAGGAAACACTTCGAGACATTTAAGAGGGAGCTCTTTGCGAGGTATAGGAAAGATCCTCTACATTTATTAAGAAAACCACAGCAGGGTAAAAAGACCTAGGCGTCGCGAGGCCGCGCTTTGTATGCCGGCCTCGCAACTACCATTATACTTGTGCATTTCTTTTGACACAGACTCTGGACGAAAAGATAAATATGTGTAAATGTGTGTACAAAGTGCTTCTAGTGAATTTGTCTGTAAAGCAACACATAGACTTAGTAAAACGTTCAGAAATTAACTCTGTGATGAGTCGAAAATCATGTTTTGAGCACGTCATTATTGAGTGTAGTATTTTTAGTCGTATGCCTGTAGGCCTAGTCAATACATGTTATGTATGTGTATAGTGCATAGGTTTATAAGAACAAGAACTACTAATGTTGTACATTCCTTTGTTACTGTAAGTCTTTAGTGATGTGTCGGATATGCATATCTGTATCCGTGAGTATCCGCAAGAGAAAAATACTTTTTTTTAAGTTTTTTTTAAAAGTAAATTATTAATTTTATTCACAGCTATAAGTTCCTATTCGAGTTAAGAGATCACACTCCAAATTTTTGTTAGCAAACTTATTAATATTTGAAAAATCACGGGCAGCACAAGTCGAAACATGTCATATTATTTTGTCATTGAACGTAAACTGATGATTTTTGATATTGGTAATTAATCAAAAAAAAGTGTGAGCTGCATCGTATCCGCGTAGAAGTACGTTTATAACGATCCGGTACATCACTAGAGGTCGTAGTGTTGTGTTTCTCGAGTATTTAACAATAATCGAATGTTATGGTTGTCATGCTAATATGAAAATGTGTTGTGTATATGGTGTCTGTTTTTAAATGAGATAATATTTTATTCAATTTAAAATGTAATATCGAAAACATTTGTTATTTATTTTAAATAGATTTAAACTCTCGTTTTAGTCGCCTTCTGAAATTACTAAAGGTGGTGTCTGATTTGATACTCCTTTGTGACTGTTTCCAGTAGGTCTCGGCGTCTCACTCTGTATTCAGCCTATCAGATAGCGGTTGCTATTAGGAGCTCCAAGGTCAATATGATTTGATCTTACCAGCGGTATGATGTCCTTCCGCGTTATCTGTTTCTCTCAACTCTGCGTACCAGGATCACCTTTGCGAAGTTGTCTGGCCCCTTTTTGGCTGTGTATCCAAAGTACCTACCTCAGGTTTTTCTGGTAACATATAGTCTGCCTGGTTACAGTTGTGAGTTAATCAAGGCTCTGTGTCGCCAAGAATATTAGGTATTTGAAGTTGTTTTTTGTTTTAAAAGATTTAAGTAACAGTTTTAACATTGTAAATATTAAAATACTATTGTTATGTTAGATTAAACTCCGTGATTGTTTATAAGCACAAAGTGAATAGAGAAAGTTCAATTTATTATAAATTGTTAATAATTTTAATATTAGTTTTTAAGAAAAGATATTTCTTTAGTCAGAGTTCCTATGGATTAAACAAGACTATATTATTATTATTTAGCCCAACAGTGGGATAACAGATTTGTAATCAGATCTTATGTTTTCTAAAATATATTTATGTTTTATTTTGTATGTAGTTTATGCTATTCGTCTAAATTAATGTATAGATGTCCTGACTTAATCACTTTAATATTATTTATGAGTATTATTTTCCCTTGGACTTAAGATTTAATGTGTGAAGTTAAATTCGTAACTTCTAAAAATTTTCTCGATTAAATCAGGGTTCATTCATCTAAAAATAATTTATAGATATCGATTTGTATGAAAATTACGTTATTGTCTCATAAAAATGAATACAATGGATATAGGTATGTTTAAAACCATTTCATGCAAGCCAAGCCGCAGGAAACATTAGTGTGTCTTGATTGTATGCACATTTTGTTGTCAGAACCTTAATTCTCTTCTAAAAGACAAGAAATTATTGTTTGATAGAAATAAATTATTAAATTCTCAATTACAGCTATTTCGGAGATTATCCAGAACAAGCGGATAGGCAGGCAGCAATAGGCTAATTGAAAACATTTACAAACGAAGATATTTTGACATTAAATACACTATAATTTTATTTGTTTGTATGTATAGATAAATGATCTAGAATATATTATTAATTAAAAATTATAATAAAAAACAATTCTTAATTGGCACTTAGCTTTTTAAACAACGGCGTCACATATTTGCTTTTGTATAGTAGTTCTTAATGTTATCTACTTAGGATACAAATTTAGCTACAATTTCAACTTTTATGCACACACATTCAGTGACAAGTTTTACATTTTTGTACTAAGACTTTAGAAAGATACTTTTTTTTAAAACAAATTGAATTAAGTATAAAAATGTAGCTTATCTCTTGGGAAGTAAGGTCTCATTTAGATTGGACCGTTGCCAATTTTGATATAGACGTAGTGTTCAGATCTTAAAATTGATCACTTCATGAAATGTCCAATCATTTCATTAAATGATAGTATTTCACGAAATAGCCGGACTTAATATCACAACAGGAAGCCTGAGTATCGCGCGCTGTTTAATTTCACCAATGAACGCGCGCGATGCTAGAGTTGGCTGTTAGATGGACAGTTATGCGACTATAGTTAAACCGCCGTAAGCTTGGCCCTCCTGATGGTTTGCGGGACGCGGGGCGGGTAATGCGCTCGGCTATACATGACACGATGTACTAACTCGATATCTTCAGATTTATTTGTTTGAGATTTAATCTACACACGATGTAATAAAAATCGAATTTATTTCCATGTATTATAATGTCAGTGTATTGTAAGTTTTTATGAATAATTGTAAAATTTAATACTGTAAAATAATTTTAATAAAATCACCTTATCTTCATCATGTAAATTATATTCAGATACAATTTAAAAATTAAGTAAAATAATAAATATTCTTTATTAGAACTTTAACAGTAGAATCTCTGTAAGCCGAACTTCAAGTTTTTAAATCTTTTGATGACGCAGAGTCGGCAGATTTTCCATGTTGCAAAATAATACCGTGCGTAGCAGTTGTAAGAAAAATAACACGTACAGCCATGCTTTCACGTCAGTCACTGCCGGCGGACAGCGACGCGCTAGCTAATTGGTTGAATGCACCCCCGCCCCCCAAACCATCAGGAGGGCCAAGCTTACGGCGGTTTAACTATAGTGTAGGCGACTCGCCCATTTTTTTTTGTCATAATATTCTGGTGAACAATCACCACAACGTCACGGTATTTTATATTTTAAAGATGAATCTTATTAATGGCCTAGTAGTAGTTGCTAAGTACGACAAGATAAAAGTTATTGAAAGTGTTTTCTTTATTGATATACTTATTAGTTGTAATGCTGTCTGAATTCTGTCGTTTGTTGATATTATTTTATTGCTATCTTAATTAACAATTGACACATATTGTTATTTTTTTAAAACATAAGATACAAGGTAGAATTCGTAATAAGTCTTTAATTTTGATTAAAGTTTTACAATTTTGTTTTCAGTAGTAATGTGATGTATTAATTTAATAGATTATTTTTTCAAATATCGTAATTTAATTTAGACTTCTATATTATTGACTACTTCGTATAATTTTTATTTTTAATATTTGTGTAAGTGTCAAAATACTAGGCAAGTCACAAGTTTAAATGATTAGTATTTGTAGTAGAGATCATATCAGACGTCACTTGTGCATATTCAGTATTAAGCCGGTACCCAATATATGGGGTCTACCAATATGAACGTCCTGGTTTAAAAATTTAATAAAACACACAATTTTTTATGAAAAATGCATCCGATTGATTTATTTGATAGATAATTTTATGCAATTTATGTTTTAAATAATATATCGGCCAAATGACCGCCGCGGCTCTTTTTGCAGAGAGTCACCCGCTCCATGCACCATTTCGGCCGGTATGTCGGCTATGGCTCGTCGAATGTCGGTTTTTAGGTCACGAATTGTAGCTGTACACTTTAGATTTAACGTAACCCCAAAGAAAATAGTCTAAAGGTATTAAATCACACGATCTTGGTGGCCAACTGATTGGTCCATTTCTCGAAATTAACGACTCACCAAACTTTCCACGCAATGATTCTATGTTCTCTCGAGTGGTGCACCGTATTGTTGAAAATAAAGGTCGTCTGCATCAATATCATCAAATTCCGGAAAGAAATATTCGGTTAACTTCGAGTTATAGCGCTCGCCATTCACAGTAACAGGGTTTCCTTCGTCACTTTCAAAGAAGTACGGACCAATGATTCCACCGTACCATAAACCGCACCAAACTGTTATTTTTTGCGGATGCAATGGTGATTCCTGAACCACACGTGGATTTTACTCACTCCAATAGCGACAATTTTGTTTATTAACAAATCCATTGAGCCAGAAACGAGCCTCATCTGAGAAGATGATTTTAAGATGAAAATCGTCATCGGCTTCCATCATTTCCAGTGCATAATCGGCAAATTCACGACGGATACAATGGTCGGATGGCTTCAATTCTTGTGCCAAAACAATTTTGTATGCGTGTAGGCCCAATCCAACCGCAAAATACGTCAGGTGGTCATTGGAGAGAGCCCCAACTCTTGTGAACGGCGTTGAACTGATCGATTTGAATTCGCATCAACACTGGCCTGAACGGCTGCGATATTCTCTTCACTACGGGCATTTATTTGTCTCACAGGCACAGCAGTATCGTGGAGAGTGAATTCACTTTCAAATTTTGTTATTATGCGATTTACAGCGCGCACAGAAGGAGCACTATGACGGTAGGAGAACGCGAATTTGCGTAAGAATTTTGAACAATTTCCAATTGTTGGTTTAAAGTGAAACGTGACATGATAAAATGGCAAACCTTACTGAACACAAATGTCAAGAGACGTCAAAGATCCATCATCAAACATGGCCGCTATGAGCTGTCAAAACCAGGTCATCCCTATTGGTAGACCCAGTATATAACAGATATTGTTGATATTATGATTGAGACTAAGTCAAAGTAAAGACCCATCATCAACAGCCTTTAATAGTCCACTCATAGTCATAGAGGACATAGCTCTCCCTACTAGGAGGTTTTGGCCTACTGTACCACGCTGGCCAGACGGGTTGGTATAGAGTTTGTGCCAAGTTTTCATTCTCTTTGCAGTGCTGGTGTTATCCGGCGAAGTTTGCTGTCTTAGTCGACTCTTACGACACCCACGGAATAAGTAGGCGTGGTGACACTCGGTATATTTACCGTCACCACACGGACAAAAGTAAAATACCTATATTTGAATGAAAATTGTAGATGGTACATATTGATAATGGTTTGGGAATGCCTTTGATATATTCACAGGCATTAATGGAAACGAATTTTCAATAAATAATTGTCAGAAATTTGCATTTTTATTATTTGTCGTGGGAGAGTCATACTTCGGCACACATGGGATAGCTGAACCGGTGTAATCTCACATAAAACTGATCTTAGATACTATTTACAGACCGAGTGAGGTCACCAGAGGATAATTTTGGTGAGTGGTATTCAAATTCTGGTGTGCCTTTAGAGTTGCGCGTGTCTCTTGCCATTAGTGACCCGTCTGTTCGAGGAGGTTCACTCAAAAGTGTCTCCCCCATATTTAAGGGACTCTTCCTCCGGTAACCCATTTCCTTTAAACCTTCAAGAAAAGAGCGCACTCTTTCCTCAAAGGCCAGAGTTGCAGGCGTTCATGGGCGGCGGTAGCCACTTTCCATCAGGTGACCCGTCTGCTCGTTTGCCCCCTCTGTCATAAAAAAGTGTAAAAATACAAGTGGAAGGTGATAAAAAGAAACTACATTTTCCAATCAAAGCGCGGTAGTATTACTCTCGGACTTCTTGCTGATATGATCATGCACCCATTCGTATATAACAGGGTAGGTGAGTCGGGTGTAGACGCCGGGGAAATTCCCTCGGGCACAACCCAGACCCCAAGACACCACGCCGATCAGCACACCCTCGTAGACTATAGGACCACCGCTGTCTCCCTGAAATAGTTGTAGAAATGTTTATTAGATAAAATGTGACTATTAAAGCTATAGAATTTTAAAATTCAAACTCAATTTATGCTTCAAATTTAATTGCCAATTATTATTAAAACTTGATTTTACTAATTTATTTGAATTAAAGATTATAGATTAACACACACTAAGACACTGCAATAACGTGTTAATTTTGTGTTTGACTGTTTTCACTTATAAGTGCAAACAAGAAGACGTACCTAATGGTAAACCTAATGGGCTAATGGAAAATCACATTTTTAAATCAAAAGTAAGAACGATTATTTGTTGTTTTTCTTTTTGAGTCATAATTACCCACATAAAAATTTATGAAACGATCTGCAAATATCTAATTTACGTACTCACGTAAGTAACAAAATATCTCAGTCAGGGTGCTCACGTAAATAACAAAATATTTCAAAGTCACGTGGTTGATATACTCGTACATGAATATATACATGTTACATACAGTTTCTAGAGCAATGATCAAATATTAACTGGCCTCTGAGTGTTTCCAGGTGTAATTAATAATACCGAATATGTTTATCCGTCTTCTGGAACGCATTCGATACACTAAATTTGCTAGATTACCGTAGAATCTCATTTTACTTTACACACATATAAAAATCAATATGTGTTTCTTCGTATTGTATTTGTTAGTGTATCCTTAAAGCCAATTATCATGAAATATTGAATGCGCACAATGTCAAAAAGGTGACAGGATATCTTTTATGCAGAAAATAAATAAATAAATCGAAAAAGCCTGAGGTATGATTTTTTTTTGGAAATACCTTCATCATCAGCCTTTAATAACCTTTAATAGTCCACTGCTGGACATAGCCCTCTATTTTGAAAGGAGGTTTTGGCCTACTATACCACGCTGGCCAGACGGGTTCGTATAGGGTTTGTAGCTTTCCTTCTCTTTGCAGTGCTGTTGCCCTGCGTAGTCTCGTAGTCGGCTCTTACGACACCAACGGGATGAATACGGGTGGTGACACTCTGTATTCTAAATCCGTCGCCATAAATAAATAAATATCTTAGTTAACAACAAAATTACCTGACACGCATCAGGAGACGCACTAGTGAAAGAACCTGCGCAGAACATAGAGGCAGGGTCTATCGCCTTTCGGTCTAATCCAGAACGCCGGCACAGTTTCATGGCGATCGTTTTCACTGTTGAGGATTGCAGGTACGTTGCACTAGGGCCGCCTTCCTTTAAAAAAACGTAATTAGATTAAATTTTGGACATTACAGTTAATGAGAGATAAATAGTAAGCGACCACGTACCGAAAGACGCAGCGTGGGTAGGCTCCCCGCAAGGTGGTAGGACGACCTGGTGAAGGTCGCGGGAAGCCGTTAGATGAGGGGAACACAGGACCGGTTGTTTTGGCGAACCTTGGGAGAGGTCTATGTCCAGCAGTGGACGTCTTGCGGCGGATGATGATGACGATGAAATAGTCTGGATGAGTAAGAAACAAAGCATTTGTGATTGTGTGGGTGGTTATAGGTGAGATGTGTGTTAGTATACTAGATTGATCATCATCAGCCTGTCACCGTCCACTGTTAAACAAAAGCCTCCCAAAGGACCGCCAACCATCCTGGGCTTGGGCAGTCTGCATCCATCTGCTGCCAGCCACTTTATTTAGATTTTTTTGGGAAAAACAGATTTATATATGGAATGGAAATTTTATTTAAAATATGATCAGTCATTAGAAAAAACACAAACTTTACAAATTCTAATTTCTTTCCATGGATTTGCAAAGTTAATTACAAGTAGTCATGTTATGCACTATAACCTTTGTAAATATTCTTGGTAAAACAGCTTTTTAATCGAAAGGAAGCGGTTTTGAGGACTTCTTACTTTTTTGATGTTTAATTTTATTCAAAAAATTATGAAACTTATCGTTAACTGTATGTTATTCACATACAGTTAACGATAAGTTGTCCGTGTGGTGACGGATTAAGAATACAGAGTGTCACCACCCCTATTCATCCCGTGGGTGTCGTAAGAGCCGACTAAGGGAAAAAACTACGCAGGACAACAGCACTGCAGAGAGAAGGAAAACTTGACACAAACCCTATACCAACCCGTCTGGCCAGCGTGGTATAGTAGGCCAAAACCTCCTTTCTAAGGAGAGGCTTATGTCCAGCAGTGGACTATTAAAGGCTGTTGATGATAACGATAAGTATTTTTAATTATTTTTATTGATGAACAATGAGAGGAGGTTCTCAGTTCAGCGTTATTTCTTTTGTTGGTATTTATTACCTCAGAACCCCGTTATTTATGAATCAATTTGGCAAATTCTTCTTATGTTTGAAAGACTATACTTTCCGTTTGGTCCTATTCAAAATTGAAGAAAAAGTTCTACAACAGAAAATTAAGGAAATGAAAAATACGACTTCGACTGCACAAATGGCGTAGTGAGTGGTTTACCGCTTCCTACTGCGCTGAGTGTTGTGGGTTCGAACCCCACATTGGAAAATACTTTGTGTGATCCACAAATTGTTGTTCTGAATCCGTTTCTTGTGTGTTTGTAAAGTCCTCCGCGACACAGGATATATCACTAATGCGGGAGTTGTCTTTTTTTTAATAAAAAAAACTGTTTATTTCTGTTTATTTCAACAGTTCAACATGATGTTGGCGCACTGAAGTTGATGATACTTTTTTCAATATTTTCGGTCGCAATTTATTTAAATGAATCCATAAACATATAATGTCCGCCTATTATTTATTTAAAACACCACAAAAATAATCAGGTTATTTGACAGTAAAAAGCACAAGAGTTGACCAAGGTCGAGGCGAGCGTGCTGATCGAATTATCTGCGGGATTGAGCAATATTGAAACCAGCCAGCGCAAAGATGATTGTCCGGTCAATGGCTCTTTGTACTGCAGCGGTATGAGTGGAAGCCTTGACCGTGTAAAGCATGGTACACAGATGCAGACATTGGTAAGAGTCATATTTTTAATTAATTTTTGTATAGAGGATTTTATTTTAATTTGTACAGATGAGAATCGAGCTCTGTCGGAGTAGCAGGAATTTTATTCCTGGTTCCCCGTCTACTGGTACCTGAGATGGCGGGCGGTTTTTAGTCAGTTCGACATAACCATGCACCCTCTTACCAGCGTGTGCGGAACCTCCATTTCTATGCGGAAATCCCCTCGGATACCATTCCGAAGAGTTTCCGCACTGAAAAAAAGAAGAGAAGCGACCAGACGGGTGACTTGATGATAAGTGGATACTTGCAACTGAAAAGATATAAATGTTTTGCCGTCTTTTGAGTAGGTTTGGAGGTTTAGGCCTCTGGTACCTTCACTTACGCGATGAAAAGTAACAAAACAATTGTTTAACACCGGTTTTCTGTGAGACCGTGGTGTCACTTCGGTCTAGTCGGCCCATTTGTGCAGACGCTGTCGCTTCCTTGTCGCTCTGCCACAGAATTTACTGCTGCATTAAATTGGATGAGGTGGTGGATTATTACAGGGATATCCCAGAGGGATCCTGAAGTAAAAATGCTTACAGCAGCTTATTACTGGGTACCTTATAAAGTTCCGAAGACTCTTTGTGTTTATGACTGGGAGCTTCCAGTTTTCATTTAATTTTAGGATGAATGGATATGGATGAAAAAATAATACACGGGACCCTTTATTTCGGGTCTATAATATGTATGTATTTAGAAATATATAAGTATGTTTATAAGCAGTCTGGTTACCATATTACAGGCTCTGCTTAGTTTGGGATCACACGGCCGTGTGTAAAATGTGTGAGAATATTATATTATTTCAACTGATAGATATATAAACGATGATTGATAATTTGCTCTTGGTAATTCGGATATCGAGAAACCAGGGAAAAGAAAAAATATAGAAAAAAATCCGGACAAATGCGAGTCGTTCTCGCCAACCGAGAGTTCCGTACATATTTGTAGGTACATATTATTAATAGTTCAGGAATCGAATCTCGCAGTTCAGTTTCCAAAACCTATAATTACTTATATTCTTGAGTTTTATGAGAGAAATTGCACCTCGATGATTGATTACGTACTTTAAAATATACTATATTTTTAAAAATTTATTTACAAATGTATAGTTTTTAGATTTTTTCTTGTACTTGTAGTATACGACGATATTACTTGCCAAATTTCAGAGTTTTAGGTCAACGGGAAGTACCTTATGAATTTCAATTCCCTTGAGAGTGTCGAAATATGCGTAGCTTTTTTTCACGTTAACTTAAGAGTTTGATTATTTTACAGCTTCAAGGGACTGAGGACTTAAAAATTTGGTTTTAATTTTTTTCAAAATATAGATTTGCTATAAATGGGGTGGTACATGTTGTGGTATTAAAGGTTTAATATATTGCGAACAGGTCCATTTAGCCATGAAGATAGCATGCAAATTTATCAATTTTTTTTAAACTTATGTATTAGATATATTATTATTATTATCATCATCATTATTCATCAGTTTTTGTGTATTAATTATAATTTCACTTTTAACCCGATACCTCCATGCGTTCCTGAGATAACTTGTCTTCACAGACAGACGGACAACAGAGTGATCCTTTTTTTTCTTATGAGTTACCGAACCCTAAAAAGGCTAGAATAGAATATAATATACCTTTAGTTTCCCCCATCCGCTAACAATAGCCGGTTCAGCAGCTGGTAACCTGGCTTCTTTCGCTACCAATCGTATTGGCAGGACTCTGGATGAAAACCGCAGAGGAGAATACAGCCGCACCAAGCCTACATCGTTGGTTTTGGTCTTGCTGACGTAACGAGGGTGCACGTAGCAGTCCTTGACGTCGTACATTTCTCCCCCGTGGGTCTTCCAGGAGGAGCCGAGACGGACAGTGAGCTCACTAGCTCGGGCTCTGTGGAAGTAGATTGCGGAAAAAAAGGTTTTTGAAGTTATAATGTTGTTATAATATATTTAAACTTAATATTGGCTCTATTAAAATAAAATGGAAACCATATATTTTTTAAATTTTTATTTAATTATATTATATTATTTTTTGTAGAATTAGAGTATAAGTATTAAGTCTCAATATTAGACTTAGGGTCATGTCGCTTTTTTACTATTAATTACAAAATATTTTTTTACGTGAATCAAATATTTAATATCAATATACTACAATTTATTAACATTAATATAGTATAGGTAACAATAATAATAATATTCTACCACATTTACACAACGCCTTCTAGGCTCAAACTAAGCAGAGCTTGTACCATGGGTACCGGACAAGTGATATAATTACTTTTTTTTGTAAATACATACTTATTATACATAGAAACACCCAGACCAATTCAAACATTAAACGTTCATGCACACAAATGTTTGAATAGAGGGGGGATGGAACCCGCGACCTTTGGAATAGCAGTCCGTTACACAAACCACTACGTTATCCGTCAATTATTTTTTATAAAATAATATTTTGCATTCATATAAGCCGGCTCAACCGGAGTGATACCACGGCCTTACAGAAAACCGTTGTTAAGCAACTCTTTTGTTGCCTTTCACTGAGTAAGTGAGGTTACCGGAGCCGAAATCCCAGCTCCCGCTGACTCGAGCAAGAGGGACTGCAAGGGCAGCAACGCACTTGTGACTTTTGAGTTGCAGGTGTCCATGGGCGGCGGTAGTTGCTTACTATCAGGTGACCCGTCTGCTCGTTTGCCCCCTTATACCATAAAAAAATCTTGATATTTATGTTAGAGTTGCTGGAACGCGAAAGAGTTGTATAAAATACTCTTCTTTCTGTAAACGCACTTTTGTCCTACATTAAAACCTTATTGAGACTTAATACTCTGTTAAGTTTACTTTGTTTTTGTTTTCTCTTAATACTCTTTCCTGGGATCGCTTTAGAATCACTTTAATCGGATTTTACTACAAGTATTTATTTGTCTGATACTCTATTCATTAGGATGGCTATCAACGTGGAACGTTTATTAGTATAGTGTTGAACAAATACAATTTATTCTTTTAAGTAAGGTGTCGAATTTGTGCATTTTAGTAACAGTAATCTTTATTAAGTTGTGGATCATAGATAGGTACATTATACAGATGTCATAGTTTTAATTTTTTAAATCTATACAAATAAATAAAATTGGAGTGTCTGTTTGTAATATTAAAATAACCGCTTTTTACTATATACATATATATATGTTTACACGGTACATATGCCAAAATAACATTTTTTACAATTTTTGTCTGTCTGTCTGTTTGTTCCGGGTAATCTCTGGAACGGCTGGACCGATTTTGACAGGACTTTCACTGGCAGATAGCTGATGACATAAGAAGTAACTTAGGCTACTTTTAGACTAGCTTCGCCCCGCGGCGTTGCCCGCGGTTATAACAACAAACGCGGGTAACACCGCGGGTCTCAGCTAGTTCTAAATATACAAAGTACAAATGCAATAAATTTAGGTTATAATTTGAACCATCTCAAAAAAATAAAAATAAATTGTCAGATTGATTCGCTGACTGATCGATCAACGCACAGATGAAACCCCTGGGTCTAGAAGCATGAAATTTCGCACTAAGAAAGGATTGGATAAATTATTGGTCTCCCGTATAATAATTTGTTTATGCTTTTTAGTTAGCAGTACTATGATTTAACAAAATCTATAAAACAAAGTTTTGTTTTAACGGCCTAGTAAGAATAATGAAGTATTATGAAAATATTAATATGATTACGATCGTAACACGAATAAAAAACAAATCAGAAAAACAAAATGTTGCAAAAACATCTCGTAACAAAGCGACCTTCAATATAAAATAATTGAAAATGGCTGCGAGATTGCTTAATTTATAATTAGGCGCCAAGATTGATTGTGAAACACGGGCTGAATATTAAAACAGAAAATTTATAAACTGACAATTTCGTTTTACCGTTAACATGGGCTGAAAGTAATATTGGTTTAGTATTTAGTATCTACTCGTATGTTTTAGGAGAGCTAAGTTTTGGTTCTACTCCTTAATACTATCAAAGGTTAACCTGCCTTTTTTTAGGGTTCCGTAGTACTAATAAGGAACTCTTATAGGTTCACCATGTCCGTCTGTCTGTCGGTCCACGGCTTAGATCACAGACTGTAAATACTGGAAAGCTGTAATTTTGCATGGGTAGGTTGACCCTTTGCGTGTGGTGATGGATTAAGAATACAGATTGTCACCACACCTATTTATCCCGTGGGTGTTGTAAGAGCCGACTAAGGGAAAAAACTAAGCAGAACAACAGCACTGCAAAGAGAAGGAAAACTTGACACAAACACTTTTTTTTTTTTTTTTTTAACTTGTGGAAATCCCCTCGGACCGTCACCCCACCGGGGTTTGCGGCGAGGTGGTGTGTCGGACTCGGACCGACTAAAACCACACGGTGTGCCACTCTGCGCCTGTAACAGGAGGGATCCGGGAAAAGCTGTTATTAAGACATCCGGACCCCTCCTAGCGCCAGCCCGCTCCTAGTGCGGGCTCCGTCTCAAAATTTTCCTCTCTTTAGGCGACGTCCGGCACACGCGGACGCCGCCCCCTCGCGGCTGGCCAAACTAATGCGGGTGGAGGGGAAACCCACCCCGTCCACCCGCGGCCACACTCAGGGCGGCATGAGGCGGTGATAGGCGCGCCTCGGCCGCCCGGTTCACCGGCGGCGGATCGGGTCCGAGTGGAGGTCGTCCTCCCGGGCCTTCTCCGCCGCCTCCTTCTGCGAGATTACTTCCTCGCAGAAGGTTGCGACCGCGGTAAAACAACTGTCCCTACCGGCCATGGAGCGTACTACGGCCGGTAGCGAGAGATCCACTCTGATGACTGCAGTGAGGGCCCGGCGCTGCGCCGCCCATGCGGGGCAGACCGCCAGCGTGTGCTGGGCCGAGTATACCAACCCGTCTGGCCAGCGTGGTATAGTAGGCCAAAACCTCGTTTCTAAGGAGAGTCCAGCAGTAGACTTTTAAAGGCTGTTAATGTGATGATGATGAGGTTGATCACGCCAACAAAGTGGTTAAATAAATCTTGTTGTTAAATAAAAAATTGTAGGGGTAAATCTTACACGTAACGTGGGAATGTTATTTTTTGCCCAGTGTAAAGTGTCTTCCAAAAAAAATCAGGGAGTGTATTCATTCTCACAAAGGTAATATCAATATTGAATTGTAAACATCTATTTTTTTTTTGTTTAAGCTTAGGTCTAACAAGCTAAACTGTTGGCTTACAAGATCACTAAAAAGTCATGGTGCCAGTATATACAACAGACGTAGAAGAAATGTATTACACATCGCTATCTAGACACAAGTCTATAATAATATATATATGTAACATTACCTATAAACAATGTTATTGTTACTGATTTTAGAATAGAAAACAAGCGCCCTAATACATTTATGCAAGTGACGCTACAATAAGAAAGAGAACGACCTAATACGAAGGATATTGGAGATGTACACGTCTACATTTCAGAGCCAACGTATCGCTTTCCAAGTGGGCGACAATAAATTTCTTCAGAGCAATCGTAACTCTCCCGAGAGCGACTATCTAGTACGTAACAAACTGTAGCTGTTTTGTTCCTGGGCCCACGGCGATTGGTGTTTTGCATCTACACTAGGGAATAAATTGAAATTGGTGAAAAGAACGCAATTCGCTAGGGGCGGCCCATAAAAAGTGCGAGGCAGGCTCGTGAATTTATTCGAAGTAGTTCGCGGGTTCAGCTCTAGTTGAAAGTGTGGGTTTATTTCGTGAAGTGTTTATTGGGTTCGGCCTTGTATTCCCCTGCGTTGGACTTTCAATCATCTGGTTTTAGGTTTCTTTTTATTTGTTTGGGTTTGACCACCATTCTATTAAATTAAATGACTAAAGAGAATTTTCATTTATTTTTTTAGCTAGAAATTGTTATGTAAAAATGTGTAGAGTGCAAGGGAGGAAAAATGTGTAGAGGGGAAGGGACTGTTATTAAATTTTAACTTGAATAAAAGGAGGAGGTTTTATGTTTGGTTTCATGTAATTTTTATAAGTTATGAAAATACTTTTAAAATTTTTAAGTTAGCTTTGACAAATACGTGAAAATTACACACAGAATACGAACTTTCTCAATCGTCTTATTAAAAGGAGTATTAGGTACGCTAGTAAATCTTTTGAATCTTTTAACATGTTTTAACCGACTTCAAAAGGAGGAGAGGGCACTTAATGACACCTTTCAAAAAGATATTGCTCCTCAGCTACAAAATAGTCTTATAAAAAATCAATGAAGTAAGGATACAGGAAGATCTTGAATAAATTATTTTAGAGACCAGTGGTATGCGAACACTCTGACCGACGGTTTTCTGTCGGTCTGTAAAACGCACTTCAGAGTGATCACTTTACTTCGAACTTTCTTTTGAGCAGACATAGATTTTAATCCATACAGCCTAATCAATTTAAATGCAAACCAGAGATAATCCTAACGCGCCTATGTTTTGTTTTGATTGACGTCTAATGTTCGATAGCCAGGGACAGGTATTCCAATTTACGCTGTGGTTTTTATGGTAAAAGAAAAGTGTTGTGTTTACTGTTTTCCCTCATTTTTTTTCTGTTTTATTCTCTCTATAAGAACCTACCTTGCGTCTTAACGAAAATTTGAAAAATATAACAAAATTAGTCAAGCGGTTCTCGAGTGGTGCGCTTAGCAATACATTTAAAACAATAAAAAGTAGCTTATCTTACTTGCTGATAATGTAGCTTTCCACTGGTGAAAGAATTTTTAAAATCGGTTAAGTGGTTTAGGCGTGAAAGCGTAACAAACACACACTCACTTTCACATTTATTACATAAGTATGGTAGTTTAGATGTAGATGTGAAGCCCTTCAAATGGCCTAATGAAAGATTAACAGGTTTACCTTAAGAGGCAATGTGCAGCTGTTAGTAGCCATATATCCGTGATAACTGACCCTCCACAGATAGGGTATGTCTTCTGTCGGAGCGACACCTGCCAGGGTACAGCAGCTATGGACGTGTTCCGTCCAGACACGATACGGCGGGTCGAACTGGACAGATTTGTATCTAGCAAATAAATTATATCATGATGTCGATCGATCAATATTTTTTTATTAATTTTATGTCAAGCAGATTATAGTTTTCTTTTTATGGCAAACGGGTCACCTGACAGTAAGTGACTACCGCCGCCTATAGACCTCAATGCATCTTAAGAAACACAAGTGCCTCTGCCAGAAATAAGGGGGGGGGGGGGATGGTTGGTGGAACGGGGTTAGTTAACCTTACTGGCATATCACCGGTTTTCAGTCAGTTCAGTGGAATCATTCCGGTGGAACCGAGCCATGTTTTGTGTTCCAAAGCATGGTAAAAAAAGCTCAGAAATGGTCTAAGATACACTAGACATTTAAAACCAAAAATAATAAATACTAACATTACATCTCATCATCAGCCTATCGCGGTCCACTGCTGGACATAGGCTTCTCCCATTCATATCCTGCTAGCCATCCTGCGCAGATCGTCACTTCACATGGCCTATGGGAGTCCTACACTACGTTTGCCTAGTTTTTTCAATACCAACATACCTGTTTGTTTTAAATAATTTCACTTCACAATAAGAAGTATAATTTTATTACCTGAAAGGTCTCTGCGACTTGGAGTAGTCGGCTTGTCGTCTGCAAGAAATCATAGTCTAAATAATAATATTAACTAATCATCATCATCAGCCTATCGCAGTCCACTGCTGGACACAGGCCTCTCCCATTACATGCCACTTAAATCGATTTGGGGCTTCTCGCATCCAGCTCCTCTCAATATTAGCTAATAATACAGTTAAAAATACATTAGGACATAACGTTGTCTAAACTCAAACTAAGTTCTTTCAGTGCTAAGTAAAATTATCACTTATTTTTAACCGTCTTTAAAAGTAGAAGGTTCACAATTCGACTGTATTTTTTATGTTTGTGGTCGCATAAGTCCTTTATTAAGCAACTGATTTGAAAATTCTTTTTATTTAAGGGTACACTGCCAGTTTGGTTTCATTTAATTTTTAAGACAAAATATAACCCCTAAGGGTGGACAATTTAGGAATGAAGAATATTAATTTATTAAAATTTATCATGATAGATGCGCCTACGCATTGAAGTTAGTGATACGTTTTTAATACGATACGATAGTTACGTTATGATAGTTCTTGAAAAACGCAATTAAGCCACGGGCATTTATATGTTTGCCCCTGGCAGGTATCGAACCCGAAAGCTCCGACACACGATCTTATTTCATTATAACCTGTTACATCACTATCATCATCATCTACAGCCTTTAATAGTCCACTGCTGGACATAGGCCTCTCCTTAGAAAGGTGGTTTTCATCATTATCATCAACATGTACGGTCCCTCTTGCCGATTTGCCCAGATGGCGTAGTGGTTTTAACGGTCACCTCGCCGCTTCCCACCACCCTGAGTGTTTTTAGTTCGATCCCCACATGGGACAACACTTTGTGGGAACTACAAATTGTTATTCTGAGTCTGGGTATCTGTTGTGTCCGTTACATAAATGTTTGTAAAGTTCCCCGAAACACAGGAATTATTCCTAGTGCGAGTAAAGATAGCCAAACATAATAAATATATTTAAGTAAAGAGCTAATTTAAAATGTATAGAGTATCGAATCTTTCCTTAATGGCATTCGTAAGTCTAATAGTTGATAGCGTTTTAACTGATAAAGTATTAATTAATGTATTTTTGGTGTCCGTGTGGTGACGGATTAAAAATACAGAGTGTCACCATCCCTATTCATCCCGTGGGAGTCGTAAGAGCCGACTAAGGGAACAAACTACGCAGAACAACAGCACTGCAGAGAGAAGGAAAACTTGACACAAACCCTATACCAACCCGTCTGGCCAGCGTGGTATAGTAGGCCAAAACCTCCTTTCTAAGGAGAGGCTTAGGTCCAGCAGTGGACTATTAAAGGCTGTTGATGATGATGATTATGTATTTTTAACAATAACAAGTAGCAATACACGCAGCCAAAAGTAGGTCGCAGCATGTGCACAAAATTATCTATATGTAAAAAGTAAAAACTATTTGTATGTACGATAACGAGATCGTACATGTAGAATAAGGGGTATGAAACACCCACACTTGGCAAACACACAGAACAAATGATCGTGCTTATGATACAATATTTTGACCTGGATGGGAATTGAACCCACCACCTTTGGGTTGAGCAGTCACTAGACCAGGGATTCCTAAACTATTATGGGCAAGAGACTCTAGAGTCTAAAATGAACTGATACCTCAAACCCTATAGCCAAATTACAGCACGCCTATCGACTTGTTGAGATTTTTAAAAGTACAATAATGATACTTTCTACTAAAATATTAGTCATTATTATAACGAGTTGAAAAATAATATAAAATATAAATAAAAACATAAAAACATAAAAAGTTCCAAATAAGAACTTGTGTTAATTAATAGGGGTCGATTTTTAGACGTCGTCGACCCCACAAATCAGTTTTCGTTTATAGCGACCCTAAGAGGTCGAAATCGACCACTTTAGGAATCCCTGCACTAGACCAACAGGCACGTACAACATACAAGAAATAAAATCATAATAACTCGTACAATTTAAAAAAAAATGTTGTGAAAATCCTATTTGTGTTTGAGAGTTTTGAGCATACAATAATATCTTCTTACCCATTAACTTTGACAGTAGAGAGTTATACAAAGCTTTGTATTGATCCCGGATGTGTGGCTGGTTCAAAAATGATAGTATGTCGTGTTTATGTATTTCAGCCTCTCCAGCTAACCCTGAATAATCTAAATCTTTTGTGGAACCAATCGTTTCTTTATCTTCTCCATTAATATAGTAAACATTTATGACAATAAATATCACTTTATAAACCATTATCTGCTCCAGTTATGTGTAGAAAATATTTTATTAAATTTTTATGTATTTTTATGTCATAACATTTTTTTCGTTTTATTTTTTAAACATATTGTACAGCATGTTTGATTGTGGACACTGATTTTATAGCAAAAGCAATTCAGATGTCTTTTGTAATTATTGAAATAAATGGCCGTGAAATCACTTAAGTTTCTAGAGTGCAGTAAGTTATGCAACGGAACGATTCAGACGCCTGATCGCAGTTGGTAAGTGAGCGACAGAACTGTGACTTGTTGCTATTATATTTGTTCAGGCGTTTGACAACTTTAATCTTCGCTTGCCATTATGTTGAGCTAATGATTATGGACTCTTTAGATGTAAAGTAAAGAGAAATCCAAGGTGTAGTATTGTGCTACATTACCATTGTCTACTATTTCAAAGGTGATTTGCATTTTCAATCAAAGGTTATATTCTGTCCCTCTAAAGGAAACATCTTGGGTCATTATTAAATTTAATAGGTTTATTTTGTTTTATTATTTTGAGTCTAACCTTTTATGGTTGTACCATAAAAAATCTTTTGTGTCGCATTCAAGTTTCGACTTACTAAGATTTAACTGGAAGAAAATGCCCGTGACGTTAAATCCGCTTAATGCATTTTTTTATGGTATAAGGGGGCAGACGAGCAGACGGGTCACCTGATGGTAAGCAACTACCGCCGCCCATGCACCTAGGCACCTGCAACTCAAAAGTCACAAGTGCGTTGCCGCCCTTGGAGTCCCTCCCGCTCGAGTCAGCGGGAGGGGGATTTGGGCTCAGATAACCTCACTCACTAGGTGAAAGGCAACGAAAGAATTACTTAACACCGGTTTTCTGTGAGGCCGTGGTATCACTTCGGTCGAGCCGGCCCATTCGGTTATTTATAGGTAGATTCAATAAATAAAATAAAGTAATACTGCACAATTAAAATAAATAGTTCGTACGTCTAACATCATTCTACTTGATTTTCAGTGTAAGAATAATTCAATAATTCTCAACTGTTCTTCATCTTCAAACTATTCTGGACAATATTATTGTAGGTATGCATGTAGACTAGACTGAAAAATAGGAATGAAAAATAGGTTTTCAAACCCTTAGACATTGGTAACTGGTACATGTTATGGTATAGGGGGCCATACGAGCAGACATATCACCGTAAGTGATTACCGCCGGACGTAGACATCTGCACCTCACGAGTCACAAGTTCATTGTAGCCCTTTGGAGCAGTAGTTTCGGGTGAGGGGACCTAACTCAGTGAAAAGCTACGAAAGAACTTCTTAACACCAGCAGTGCAATTCTCTAAGGAAACAGCCTTGGGTGCAGCGCTGAACGTCAAACTAAGTTCGTTTGAAATTCGCCGCTACAGCGCTGCCACTCGTCGGTCAGTCGGTTCAGAGAACTCCGGGCCTTAGCTATTCGCATTGCAGTTTTTAGGAGCATGGTTCTTGCACCTTATGAATAATATGAGTATCTATTAATGTAAATGTGGGTACCCACGTCTAATCATCAAATTTTGTATACACATAGACATAGGGGCATGAGGGATAGTGAATTGATCGATTGACAGCATCAAGCAAAACCGCATGCAAAATCTATTTTTACAAAAAGTTAATTTTGATTTCGACCACTCGCCGACTTACAGAACTTTTAAAACCGTAAATGCTGTGATTCCATCCTTATAATGCGTACACTTCTATTTAATCAAGATATCCCTCTCCCCGGTTTCTTTTAAACTTTTTTTCACAGATAATAACCGTTGAGCGTATTCTTTTGGAGACTGGAAAGGGCGCGTCATTGTTCTCATTTCTGGGAAATTTTAAGTTCACAAATAAAGTGATTATACTGTGAAAGTTTTTGGATTCCGAGGGCGATTCTTTGTGAAATGGACAATGGTTTCAATTCATAGTAAATACGATCAGTAATCATAGGATTCGGTGTTGAGCATTTGGATACCTTAGACATTAGGTACCTAGAATTGGATATTAGCAATATGCAGTAAAGGAAACATGTTAAAGCGCCATCTAGTAAGGGTCACTAGTTACTATTTGTTCTGTATCGCGTAATGAAAGTTTTCGGGTCATACAACTTCCCAATATTAACATTAAAGCAATAGCCGACCAGGCATGATTACCTTGCCCGTTCGGCGGATGATGACTTGGCAAGCATACCACAGAGAGACCTTGAAATTTGAATTCCATAAAGACTACGGCATATGATTCGATTCGTAAGTAACACTTTTGTTAAATATCTAAGAAACTGTAAACAGTGTAGATACGTACAATAAATAAACTTCTATTTCACGCAGGCTTACCTAGAAAGCTAACACGTTTGGAGTTCCCAAGAGACTGTTTTCGGGCCCCCTTGGGCACATTGGATAATTTTTAGGTAGCAACTAACGCGTGTACTTGTCTGTATTTTTCTGGAAAGTGAGGCCATTGATGAGAAAACAAAGTGGGTATATCTGACTTTTATTATTGCTTTAAATAAACCGAATAAACATGCTTTACTTGAATAAAAACACAGACATATTACACAGAAAATACCAGTCACGTGGTAACAAATAAAAAAAAATAAAAAATATGTTTAGCATTATTGATAATGTATGATACTTTAGAAAATCCAATATAAAGTTTAGATCCACTTCAAAATATAGAAAATATATAGAGGTGTACATTAGGCAGTCATTAAACGAGTCGTATCGTAATTCACTGGCGATTGAGATAGATAATTCATGTGAATTTCACTGAAGAGTTCCAGTAACCTTTTAAATCCACCATTATCAACTTCAAGTAGCCAAATTCTAGTATTTTCATCGCAATTTTTTACTGTAGGCCCAAAAACAATCAATGTAAGTTATTTTCATAACAAACTAAGAATATACATATATTATATTTATAGTTTAAGTGATAAAAAGGAAACTGCTTATCTAAATATGATCTCAGCATATAACTATCCGTGTAGTGACGGATTAAGAATACGGAATGTCACTACCCCAATTCATCCCGTGGGTGTCGTAAGAGCCGACTAAGGGCGCAAAACAACACAGGTCACCAGCAGTGCAAAAAGTAGGAAAACTTGACACAAACCCTATACCAACCCGTCTGGCCAGCGTGGTCTGGTAGGCCAAAACCTCCGTTTTAATTAGAGGCCTATGTCCAGCAGTGGACTATTAAAGGCTGATGATGTGTGATGATGTGATGATGTGATATAACTATCGTGGTAATACAACGGCCTCACAGAAAGCAGTTGTGTTAAGCAATTTTTTGATTACATAACGCCGAGGGCCTGAGGTCAGCGGAGGGTCACTTGATCGTGACGAGGACACTCAAAAGCCAGTAACGCCAATTTTGGCCACTCACCCTCAGGTAACCCGTAGGCTTTTGAGCATCCTGTACAATATTTTTTTTATCAAAAAAGGCAACTCCCACACTAGGTATATATTCTGCGTATTTCACACATACATGAAACGGACACAAAAAACACCCAGAATCAGAACAACAGTTTGTGGATGTTGTCCCATGTGGAGATCGAACCCACAACACTTGACTCAGTAGGCCATTCGTACAGTCAAAATAAGAGAATAAAATCTACTATGTCTAAAATTTTGAAAAATATTTGTCTTTACATTTCCATCTTCTCCAATTTTATTTTGATCAACTTCGTTCTGGGTTAAAAGACCGTTAAATTTTTTCTGTGTCTGCCCGAGTGTCATAACTTAATGTCACTGCTGTTGATCTTGTTGTACAGGAGTTACAGGGGTGGGCACGTGGGAGGGATTAGTCCCGTTGTAAAAAAAAATGTCTTTAAATAAAATATCTTAAAGAAACATAAACTCCTAGCCGATTTGAGCCAAGACGAGGTTTTGATATCGACAGCTCCATATAAACATATTTAGAGTTAATTAACTTCATTAACCACTTCATTAACCACTTGATGTAATCTCTGTTTATTTATCACACAACCGCAGCCTCAGTATTTATACATTACCGTTATTACTGAAGTAATTACCGGAGCGGTAATCTGCGTTAATCTGCGGTAACAATTTTACACTGCTGTTGATTACAAGGATCTAATTCACTCAAGTGCGAATCAACATTTTACCCGCATTCCACGTTTAATTAGAAATACAGGCTTTAATTTTGTTAGAAGTTCTTGTAAGGAGGTAACGCGTATGATAGGCGCAGATCTTTGATAAAGAAAACTTCGACAAGTTTGTGAGGAACAATCATTCTTATTATTGACGTGACAACGTCTTATAATTCGATGGAGCCGGCTGCACGCACGAAAAAACATTACTCATGCGGCGTTACCTCGCTCTGAGGCGTTCCATTTAAGGCGTGAAGTGCAAGCGAGAGCGCGGAACGAGTGACAAAGAGGCACAATCGGCCTCCGCGTTAGGCAGCGTTGGACATCTGTCTCTCTCCTACTTGAGTGAGCGATGCGTCCGCGTGGACAGCTGCTACTCGTATACCATAATACATTTTTGAAAAATGCAACCATTCCATCAGTGTTTTCTTATGACGTTGTCACGTTCAACTATCGTCAGTAAACCGACTTTACAGACAACCGATTTTTATTATATATTCTCGACTTCTAGGATAACCTCGAAGCGTCATCAACATCGTATTCCTGCCGTTTACTCCTTCTGAGGCCTCAGTTGAAGAAGCAAGACACTTTTGAGCGTATTTCGTAACTACAAGACCAGCGTTCCCAAAAACGCTTATCGTCTATTTATTTTTTTATTATATAAGACAACTCCCGCACTAGGAAGAAATCCTGTGTCGCGGGGGACTTTACAAACATACATTAAACGGACACAAAGAACACCCAGACTCAGAACAACAATTTGGTGTCGTCCCATGTGGTGATCGGACCCACAGCTTTCATCGTAGCATTGAGCGGTGTGGCGACCGCTTAAACCACTACGCCATCCGTGCAGTCGCTTACTATTACTTATAATCTAAGACTTTCAAGATCTATCGCAA